TGATTATATATACTATATATAATTAATTTTATAAATAAAAATATGCTTGTTTTTTAATTAGTAAAAAATATGGTTATTATTAAAAATCATCATCTTGTATAATAAAATTAATTTTTTCTTTGTTATATTTTCAAAATCATCACCATATAAATAGAGTTCAAAAATCACTGTGATATTTATTTTCATAGTGATTTTCACACTTCATGATGATTTATCAAATTCACTGTGATCGCCTTAAGAAACACAAAAGACCCTTTATTTAGAATCAATGGTTTATAAATACATATAGCATTATTAATAGTAATTTTATTATTTTTATTAGTTAAAATTTAGACTATTTGAACCATTCCAATTATAGTAACACCCATTAACTCATAAATATATCACGCACAACCATTGCATTCCGAATTATATTTCATAATACTTGAAACTATAAATTACTAGTAACCTTTTTTAGTAAAGAACTACAAACAAGAACTACAAAATAGTCAAAGAATGGAGTCAACAGTTTGTTGAGTAAATAAATGAAAAGAATGTCAAACCGGAAGACGTTACTAATAGTAAAAGAATAGATATTAATTAATAAAAAAACTAGAACTGAGGAATAGGTGTGTGAAGTGTTTCAAGACACGTACACGAAATGGAAACCCCAATTTATTGAATTGGACGTTGCTGATCAGATGCTTCGGATCTATCAAGACGAGCGCCGTCTTAAAATGACGCTGCAGTTATCTCTAACGCAGTCGATCTTTGTGAAGTTGTTGAACAACAGAACAGTAGAAGACAAAAAGATCAGTTTTGGGATCATCTTGATAGACAAGAAGAATCATTCCTTTGTCAGAATAGCATTTCCAACGTCTACGAGTCATAGAAGATTATATATCCCAATCGCTAAGGTTTGCGACTGTTACGGCTGCTTCGGAGTCCCTCTCGAGATAGCTGTAGCGTACGGGAAATGGAAGATCCCTCTCCCGATGTATCGAGCTATTCAGTACTTACTCATGTCCGATAATATCGAGACCGATGGACTCTTTAGAATCTCAGCAGCAGGAAGTCTACTGATCCAAGCACGAAACTCAATGGAAAAAGGAAAGGATATTGAACCTTCTGAATTCTCCGACGCTAATGTCGCGGCGGGAATCATTAAATTATATTTGAGATCTTTGCCGGATTCTTTAATCCCGTCACGCATGACGGATAAATTCATTGAAATTGTGAAAATGGACGAAAAGTTCCAACTCGAACAATTTAAATCATTTGTGACAGAAATACCGGAACCAAATGGATTTATATTCAAATATTTAATGTTTTTCTTAACTAAAGTCGTGGAAAAATCTGACATCAATAAAATGGTCGCGGGAAATATCGCAATCGTTTTTGCACCAAATCTTTTATTTTATGAAGATAATGAAGATGGATTAATGCTCTCAAAAAATGTTAACGATCTCATTGCTCGGTGTGTGGAAAATTATTCAGAGGTCTTTGGAACTGTTGAGGAATTTCCAGGGAAATTTCCACCATTTGATAGAGAAATGATCATGGTCGATCATGAGGAATTCATTCTCAAAAGAAAAGTCATCACTCGAAAGTCCGTGTTGCCTGATTTTGCGTTTGTTTTATTATTTTATTATAATGGACTAAATAGGAAACTAAATGTGATACTTGATGACTTGATTT